GGAGGTCGACTAAAGTCATTCCCAGCCATAGCTCTCCTATACTTGATATTAGTTTTTAGTTTAGCAGACTGATTAAGAATCTTCACCGATACATTTAGTTCTAGACCCGTCGGATAATTTAAGTTAATTGTTAAACTATTTCTAAGTTAGAAACAAATTATAGAATAAACAAATTTATTTATTTTGAAAAAAAAAAAAAATCTAATTGTCTTTTAATTACTTGGAGGGTGGGTAAACAGCTTTCAGCTGGAAATAATGCAAAATGCTAGGTGCCGTAAGTTCATTGAACTTGAAGTTGACTATGTGCGATGAAATAAGAGGTGGAAAGTGTGTAAATACAGGTACATTCATATGTACAACTTAACATACATATATACATACATATGTTTGCATATTTTTACCAACACCAAATTTCTACGATCTGCCCATAGGCAGTACAAAGGTTATTCCTTTTCCGAAAAGAATAAAGGATTTTGGGTTACTGTGTATGAGCGTTGCATATACCTACATACATATGTATATTCTTATGCTCATATGTATATGGGAATTTTTCCAGAAACATCTACATACATCCTTTTTGTAGCGTGTCAACATTTTGTTTTATCACTAACCAATGGTTTTATGGTATTATATTGAAAGCTCACCACCTAAAGTTCTTAACAGATGTCAGAAAAACTATTTTTTATTTTTTTGTAAATAGTAAATTTTCCGTACTTGATTAGCACGAAAATTGGAGAATTTTCAAGAGCATTCCATATTCATAATTACAAAAAGCTAGGGCCTCGCACGCTAGAAATTTCTGGAGAAATACCTGCAATGCCCATATGTAAATATGTACATACATACATATGTACATACATATGTATTTACATATGTTTATTGATACTGCCCTATTTTCCATACATATTGGTAACAAAACATTTCTAAAATGAATATTTGTTAATACCAATTACATAAATGTCACGAACACACATACATACATACATATTCTGAACGTTTCATGGATAATGTCGAACTATAAATCTTATTCAACAATTATGTTCCCATAGTAAAGCCCATACACAGCATGGCAGAGCGTATGCCTATGCGTGAATATACGTAATATACATATACAAGCGCATATACATATGTATTTACATATGTAGATATGTATGCATACATTTCTTTGTGCATAGCTTGTTGGCTATATACCACTAGTGTGGTTAGTGTATATACATACATATGTACATGTATTTATGTACCGTTCACGTATGTACATATATGCATATGACCATACGTATGTAAAGAAGCGTACAATTATTTTAATGTCGGATCTATATAATAAATTTATTTATTAAATTAAATTCAGATAGAATTTTTTTTTTTTTAACTATACATATGTTCTTACGAAATATAGTATGTCTAAAATTTATATTATCTAAAATATAATATGTTGAATATATTACATTATAATACAACTATGTATATAATATGTATGTATATTATATTACAATATATTATGTTCAAATATTTTGTTCCATTTCTTATGACTTAATTAAATACAAACATGTGTTTGTATATGGTAGATAAATCTGGGGTGATTTTCAAAATTTCGCATTTTTATTATTTTTTATATTTGATTTGTATATATGTATAAGATAAAACATACAAATGGTGAAAACCGTAGAACTGACTTGTAACCACGGATACACATTTGTTTGTTCCAATGTATTTAAAAAATGAAAGCGCGGTCTGTTTTTACAATCGATAGCCCAGACAAACCAGTTAGCAGTGCCAACTGCGATTAATCTCGAATTTTACCGGCCGGCATGAAAATAAAATTTATTCTGCGTTGCTTTGCTTACGTTATGTACTAAAAGCTGTGGAGAATTTTACATTCCAAATTTTACATCAGTAAATTTAGTGGGAGCCACGCACTTAAATTTATTTAAAAAAAAAAAACTTTTTTTTACCATTTCAATCAATCTATCGATAGTMCGTGCATCGACGCTGCGACGAAAACGTAGAGACAGCGAGCAGAAAAAAGACGCCGAAGCCAATTTTCAGTTTTCGGAGGGATTTAGTAGTGTACTTGCCGTTTGCAAAAAGTAATTAATTCTCCTGTCAAAATATAGTGAAAACTTTTAACTAATTTGAATATATATTTTTCGTTATTTAATATCTCTTTTCGATTTTCTCGCAGCGCAAATTTGCTGTTTGAGCATATAAAAATACGAAGGCGAGTGCACAGAAGAACGAAGAACGTAGAGATAGTGAGCAGAAAAAAGACGCCGACGCCGATTTTCATTTTTCGGAGGGATTTATTAACGTGCCTGCCATTTGCAAAATGTAATTACATTTCCCAGTGCTCAATATATAAAAAAAAAATATTTATTAATAATTCATTGAAAAAATTTACACTATCATATCAATTATATTTCTAACAATATATATTTTTGTATTTTGACACAGAGTAAATTTGCAAAGCGAGCATACAAAATAAGAAGGCGAATGCAAAGAACAACGTATAAAGAAAAAACAATTTGTTTGAAAAATAAACAGAGTCCATTGCAGTCAAATCGAAAGCGCAAATAATAATAATAAAAATAAAAAAAGCAAAATAACAATCATATTAAATAATTAAAAATGGAGGAAGTTGCAGTGGTCAAAAAGCGCGGACGCCCGGCAAAGGGAACTTCGGGCGGTGCAGCTCCAGCAGCGGGCATTCCTGCCGACAGCAACATTCCAGTAATACCCAAAAAGCGCGGCCGTCCGCCGAAGGTCAAGGGTGGGCGTGGCAGGCCGCCAAAGCTGTCCGCTGCGGCCGCGAACAGTGACGACGAGGATCTGGATCACGATGAGTTGGGCGATGCCAACGGCGAATTGCTACAGCCATTAAAGAGCAAGGGTCGCGGTCGTCCGCGCAAGGTCCCGGTGCAGGCACAAGAAAACAGTGGTAACGATGACGATGATATGGACTCGTCGGCTGATGAGAAGCCACCAGCAAAGCAACAAAAGTCGCCATCATCGGCCAAGCGCCGCAAGCTGGGACGACCCCGCAAGCACCAACCCAGCGAGGACGAGGATGGTAATTATACAAATGCCTGAATATATCTTCATATATGTATACAAATGCATTTCACTCGTCTGTCCGCAGAATTCGATGATGATGACGATGAGCGTCGCCCCGTTGGTCGTCCTACAAGTAGCTCAATCAATTTGAATATTGTGCGCACTGGACGAGGTCAAGGACGCCCCAGGAAGAATAAGTCGGATGCGGCTGTAAAGCTATCATCACCAGCCGGTGAATCGAATGGCGATGAAGCATCTACAGTGCCCCGGAAGCGTGGACGTCCATCGCTGGCTAATAAGCCAGCTCCGTATGTGCCATCAGGACGGCCACGTGGACGCCCAAAAGCAAACCAATCGCCCGTTAAGGCTGTAGACGACGATGATGACGATGATGACCACCAGGCACAGAATGTATCGGATGATGCTGAATCTGTGGAGCCAGAGGAGTCGACGGCGGCAGTGTCAACCACGCCAAAGAAGCGAGGACGACCCGCATTGGCGGGAAACAACAAAAGCGGATCGGGCACCAAGCCACGTGGAAGACCCAAGAAATCGCCAAACAATCAACCAGATGGTGACGATGATCTAGATTCGGCTGGCGATGTCGGGGAGGGATCCAATGGCAAGGTACCCAAGAAGCGTGGACGCAAGCCACAAGGAGCAGCAGACGACAGTGGCGATCCTGATGAGGACAATGAGGACAGCAGTGCCGGTGGCGGATTAAATGATAATGCCGGAGATGAGGATTCCGATGAGCCGAGGAAGCAGTCAAACCAGAGCGAATCGAAATCCAAACGCAAAGAAGTAAATTCATCAGAGAATGGCGATGGAGACAATGCGAATGATTCCGTTGAGTGTGTCTCCGACGAAGCATCATGGAATAATGCTT